GTCGAACAAGCTGAAGTACACCTTATGTATCTGTTGAAGAATAAAATCAAAATCAACTGGCCCTACTACATCGCGAGTAGGATGTTTGCGTTAAGAGATTCCGGAAGAGGGACAGCTCTAGCTTATGGGTCCTTTATTCAAGAAGTTCTAAATGCTGCTGAAGTTGCTTTTCCAACTTTCCCATGCATATCTCTTACCTCCGACAAAGAATTTGGGACGAAAACCCTTTCAATGATGGGTTACTTTTGGTGTGAAGAGCGCAGAAGTTACAGATTTGTTCGCAAGGCAACCACTCCTGAGACTGTTGAAGAATCTGATGAGAGTGAAGAAAGTGGAGAAGGGGAAGAAGAGGAAGATGGAGAAGACAAATAATAACAACCTCATGAGGAGCATGCAAGTCATCACCAGATGGATACAAATGAGTACACAAATAACGATTGGGCTCAATACAACACTCCGACTGAAGAAGAAGAAACGAATAATCAAGGTTGGGGCGAGTGGCAATACACTGGATAGTCCACCTTGAGATAGTATTATCAGCCATATCAAGGAAGTTCGGAAGCACCTCCATCTCCACCACAACAAAATACCTCTGAAATTCTCAGCATGATGCAGACTATGCAGTTGGATCGGCAAAATTTTATGAGAGCTCAAGATGATAGGTTTAGTCAAATACAAAGAGAGTTCCACACTCAAAATGAAAGGCTTAACAACTTTTCCACAAGGATGGATGCTAGGTTTAAGGCACTCGCAGCATCTAATGAAGTCCAAGAAACGACCATCACTCACAGCATACGGTATTTGAATAGTGTGGTGGAGGCGTTCACCGACATGGCCGATCCATATCGCAATCCTCATTTCGATGACAGGGGACGAGGACGAGGCCGAGGGCATTAGGATCATGCGTGCATTCCTATGTTGTTTTTTTTGTATTCTTATGTTTTCTATTTTGTTGTGTGCACACTACTTGGTTTTTGCTTCTTATGTATTTTATGAGCTTTTTATTGTACTTTCTCTATTTATCCATTGAGTTACTTTTTCACTATCCATATTTTGTGTGAATATTTGTTAATGTTAGTTATTACCTACTGAGTTTTGTTTTGTTGATTTGAACATATTCTTCTTAACCTTTCTCTTTCTCTTTTTGATGTTGTCAAAGGGGGAGAAGAGAGTGTATCAAAGCCAAGAAGATCATAAGTATTTTTGTATAGGATTGCAAAAGAAAGGGGGAGTTTATAATAATATAGTATAAATATTGCAAGTTGTTCTCATTGGCTTCGCATAGGTTGTCATCATCAAAAAGGTGGAGTATGTGAGGACAAACCCTCATGTAATATATGGTATTGAGTTTCGATGATGACAAAACGCAACCATGGATGAATCGGTCTTATCGGCTATACATATACAAGACAATTGCAATATTTCATCTCTCATATCCTTCTTATATCCTTCTAACTTGGCATATTCGATTCAATATATTAAATGTATTAAAATCATAAATATATGCATTTTTACAGATTTGCAGGCTTTGAGTCGACCACAGGTCGGTGCATAAAGCAGTACAAACTCCCACTGGTCGGCGCACGCTGACCTATGGTCGACCACAGGGTCAGCGCATGAAGCAATGCAATTCCTCACTGGTTGGCGCACGCCGACCTATGGTCGACGCATGCAGTCAACACTTTTCAAATTGCCTAAAACTGCAGGTTATGCGTCGACGCATAGTCCTGCTATGGTCGACCGTTCGCGCGTTTGTGCAGTTAGTGAAGTCTTTCTACTTTGGTTGAAAAGCTGTTAAGTGTGTTGGTTGGTTGGTTACTATATATAGAAGTTTTGTTCTTTTTTAAAAACAACAATTGAGATTTTGAGTCAATTGTGCAAGAAACAAGAAAAGTGAAACAGGTGCTACCAAATCTCTTCATCTTCATCCTCAACAATTCACAACACAACAATTACACACAACAATTCTTGATGTGGTTTGTGTCACGTTCAAGGTGATAAGGTCCGAAGTCGTTGATTGGGAATCCGGTTCGGGTGGAGTTTGTAGCAGGTTTTTCTTGAATAAAACCTTAAGGTTTTACCCTCCAAGATTCGGAGAATTTGGGGGTTTTTGGTACGGATCGTCTTTACCAACTTCAGCTGAGCGAAGGTGATTGAGAAGCGGAAGGTTTCATCAGTCTAGTAGCGGGAATCAGTGAAGTGTGTAAGAGAGTTCCGGGCTCGACTTGTGGTGATTGAGATCAGTCGGGCCGAGGGTTTGAAGAACGAAAGGTTGTTCAACAAAGGGGTTGGAATCGGAGGTCTACTCACAACGATCGAAGAACTTGATTCGACTCGAATCAAGGAACAAGGAGAGAAAAGCATCATCAACATCAAGAGAACTTGTTTGTATATTTTGCTTATTTATCCTTGTATAAACACTTCAACTCTACAGGTGATATCTATTATATTGATCTCAATTCTAGATTTAGAATTGAGGGCAGACGTACCCCGAAGCGAGGACGGCGGGGGAACTGCCTCAACAAATCTTTGTCTCCTTTATTTTTCAGCACTTTCATTTTGGAGTTAGAAATTAAGTAATTTTAGTTTAAGAAATTCCATCAAAATTTGCATTGAATTGAGTAAGTGGTTTTTACTGTTTTGAACTCTAGTACAATAATAGATTATACAAGGAATTTGGAATTACTTACTCAAGCCAAAATTCACTTGGAGTGTCTCGCACACCAAGTGTTTGATAAATTGCCTAAACCAAAATTCACTTGGATTATTTGCATAATTTGTGGTGATTGTGGAGCATTAGAACTAGTCCTACTTATTAGTGGTAAAATCAATTGATTAGTGTGACTAGTGTGTTGAATCTAATTTTTGCTCATTATCACTTCCATAAGGCTAGACGCATATCCGGTCTTCTAATAACAGTTCGTTTTAGACGGTAATTTTTCTACGGCCGCTTCTGCAAAAACAAATATTTTAAATTCAATTTTAATTGGTAAGCACCGACTGAATTTTTTAATTGGGATCTATTCAACCCCCCCCCCCCCCCCTTCTAGATCCAAGCCATCGTCTAACACGGATTGCGTCTCACCGCTCCTCACCTGCCTAAGTGCGTCATGTGGCAGTTCAGCTACACTCAGACCATTCCCAGACATCCTATTGTCTCTACTCCTTTTGTCTTGACACATAGACATATATAGGACATGTTTGATGACTATGAGAGTCATCTAGTACCAGAGGAGACACGTGTTACCATAATTGAGAGCGACTCGAGCTACGTCGAAGGGTACATCAGATGGTTCTTCAGGGTGTCACATCCGTACATGGTTCGTGCTGCTCCAAGAGATTTGTCGATACCAGATCATCAGGAGATACTAGAGGAGGAGCAAGCACAACTAGATCATATTGATGATGTCTTGCTTAGGTGTCGTCGCATAATGGAGATTGTACGGACAGACATTGACGAGGGTATCTTCCCTGATGAGTCTGATGTCCAGAGGGTCCTAGATGCCATCATGACGGAGACACATGGAGCATTGTTGTACCGGAGTCATCGCGGGAGGACAGGGGAAATTTATGACAGAGGAGGTTGATGAGAGGTTGTCAGACACACACAGTAGTAGTCTCTTATTATATATTTATAGTACTATGGTATGTACTCTATTTTGACAGTCTTACTACTTGATCTCGATTGTACAAGATTTTCGACTCATGTTGCTATTTTATTTTGTGTATGACATTTTGTATCCTTCTGAAATTATGTATGTCTATTTTTTTTTCTTTTCGAGTGTACGATAAACTTCGTCTTAACATAGATAAACAACTTATAGCATGAAATACATGTTCTGATACGTTACAGAGATATATCTCCGGAATAGTTACAATTCAAATGTAAATAGCTTCTGAGTGGTTTGTATTGAATATTTTCAATTGTTGTGTAGATATATCTTCGAAACATTTCAACGTTTATTTAAAATATATATATATATATATATATATATATATATATATATATATATATATATATATATATATATATATATATATATATATATATATATATATATATATATATATATATATATATATATATATATATATATATATATATATATATGAATGACAAATGGGTTCGAATTATTTTCATGCCTAGGCGATCCAAGTGAGATAAGCCTATTGTTATGTAGATAAGAATATTGTTATGTTTTATTATTTAATTTCCCTGCTTCAAGGACTAGAAATATATTGAGTCTGTTCTGTTCATTTTGAGTGAAAATTTATATTTACTCTTTTACAAGTTTGGGATTAAGTCAAACCGTTGTTGATTTTCTTCGGTTTAATGGAATTTATTTATTTTTTTAAATAATGAAATATACCTTAAATAATTTTATTTTTTGATCCTTAATTCTTTTCATTTTAGATTTATTACTAATATAATGGACTCAATAGAGATGAAATTAATAATGGTTTTAGAATATCAATGCTAATTTGTATATGCAACATGTATTTCAAAATATCATTACTAGTATAATGTAAATTGATATCGGACTCTAGAAATAAAATTTATTTGATTTCAACTCAAATATGAAAGAAAAATAATCTACCAACTAAATTGGGTTAGATAATATTTTTCTAATTGGTAATTTGATTCTTATATCTTATTAATAAAGATTATTTTTAAAATGTAAAAAAAACAAATTTGTATTGAATAATTTGAACAAAATAGTCATTATCTTTATATAATCTATAAGTTGTTTTCACAAGGTGGTATCCTATAGAGTATAGAAATAAACTAAAAACAGCTTGTGACCAAGTCATACTCATAAGTTGTTTTTTATAAACTCATTCAAGAAACAGTCTCACACAAGTGCTTTTGTCGATAGATAAGCTTTAAATAAGCCAGTCTAAACATATTTTTAATCTATCTTAGAACTTAAGCCAGTAAAATGAACTGATATAGTACATATAATAAACAGGCTGATGACCTAATATTAGGCCACAACCACTTAGATGTATTTACATTCATTCTCTTTAAGTTTAATGGATTTGTTGTTGTTGGGGTCAATAGCTACTGAGCAAGAGACATGTTGTATGTGTTTAGTCCTCACCAACTTCCCAACAACATTTCCCCGCGACTTAACTTCAAAGACAAGCGTCGTCGATACGTTACCGTTGTCCACCAAACTAGCAAAGCTTGCACCAGCGCCGTACAATGGAACCTTGCTTCCTTGTATATTAACAGATACTGTCCTGCGACTCTTTCGCTGTTGATGATATTTCTTCAACTGCAGGAACATGGAATTTAACTAAGAATGAATGGCGTCATTATCAGATATCAGAAGCAAAAACCTTCTTCTGCTCATTTGTTTGGATAAACTGTATAACTAAGTGATTGTAGATGTTTATGGAAATGTTAGTTTTAAAATTGTTTTAATATTTTGTTCAAAAAATTCTAATAATTCGTTTTTTGCAAGTACTTCTCGAGAACTTTATTCAAACTAGCTCTAAATCAATGGGTAGTGGCTGGCATTAGAACACTTACCTCACCGGTTGCAACTGTAACCTCAGAATACATAAGATTCACCGACTTGGAGCTGACATAAATACCGAAAAAAGATGCAGGGTTGTGCACTGTCATTCTCATTGAACAATTCACTGTCAACATCTTAGTTGGAACTCCAGTTATGTCCGAACCTTCTCCGAAATAGAAGTTATGTACTGTCAAACTCTGCAAGAAGTAGTTCATAAGTTACTAGGTAAGTTTATTAATAACAAATAACATGGGGATGAATAACAAACAAAGGCATGATACTTAGAAGTGTTATTCTTAAACAGAAAAATTGAATACGTTTCTCTTCACATAATGATAGATAACTTGAAACCAACCAACCAATGTTGCGTAGTGAAATTTGAACAAATCATTATTGTTCCACAATGCGCTATTTAGTAAAAAAAAATGTTATCAAATAGAGGCATTATGACACTATTGTGCACAGGAATTTGAACAAGCTGCTATTTCCTACAATATGCGTTTGACAACATTGTATAAAGCTATCTATACTAGCACCAAAAATGAGCAGAGAAAAATCAAATACAAAAAAAGTTGGGAATGGTATTCACCACCCAAACAATGTCCTTGTGAAGTAGCTTATGCAAGTTTAGCTCAAATTCCAGACATTACCGTGTTACTACTCTACTAACAATATCAGCCTACACCACTAAGTACGTGTTTGGATTGACGGTGAATTTGTCAAAATCACAATGGCACCGTGATCTTGTTGAAGCTACAAGGAGGCACCCCGTGATTCTGCCAAACTCACCACCAATCCAAGCATAAACAAAAACAGAATGATAACATGAAATCTATACTTAATAGGCAACATTAGTAAATCCATTTTGCTGAATCATATTGTTTTATAGTAAGACCTCCTCAACTATCAAGTTCAGTCACAAGCTTGTAGCATCGACACCTCTGGAAAAAAATGTGTTAGTGTCCAAAACCAACACGACCCTTGCAATGTGATTACGTTTAATTTATTCACTTTTTCAAATTATTCCTAGTGTCAACGTATCAGTGTTGGTGTCGTGTTTCTGGTGTCCATAATTCATATGTCACACAAACCATTGAGTCACACAGCATATGATCATATATGCAAGGAAGATTAATATACCTTGACACTGAGTTGAGGTTTGTAATGCAAGCTAGCAGCCCAAATGATGAAACAAAAGACACCAAAAACCAACACAATCCCAACAATAGCCATGAAGATTTGAAACCTCCTTGAAATCCTATTACTCTCATGATAGAAATCACCACCTTCTTCTTCTATAACCTTAGATTGAATCCACCCTTTATCATTACCTTTTCTATTCCCTTTCTTACACAAAGAAGAGTTATAACCACCAGAGATTCTGCTCGAAGAAGAAGCTCTTGAATGGTGAACATAGGATTGATGTGAAGGCGAATCCATAGGACTTGGTTGCATAGTTGAAGATTTGTCACCATCATGAGAGTCTCTAGAAGGACTCTGAACATAATAAACGGTTCGTTTTGGTGATCTAGGTGATGATGGGTCGAAACTTGCAACATCAGAATCAGTTTTTGCGTGCATATTGAAAACGAATTGGATGAAAAAGCAATGGGGGATTTAGTGGTACCCAGATGGGAAAGGTTTAAGCTTTTGGTTTGAATTTTTGTGGGTAAGGGTGGAAATTCGGTATCTGAGGGAGTAAATGATGAATTTGAAGAAAAAGGTTTAAAGCCCCTTATGAGGGTTTGGGTTTAGGGTTTTGAATGGAGGGAGAGATTAGGGTTGGGAAGAGGAAAAGACAGTGAATTTTGGAGAAAATGTGCTGAATGCATAAGTGAGGAAAGAAAGAAGAGTTATGAATTGGGAACATTGGAAAGGGAAAGGGAAGTGTGAGTCTTTGAAGAGAGAGTTAGTGTTATAGAGACAATAATCCACCACTGTTGACTTTGTCCTACATGCATTTTAAATTGTAAACAAAAAAAAAGAGAGGATATTTTTATCCGAAGTATATAATTTTTTAGGCAAAATTAAATTATATGCTCTCTCTTATGTTTTCCAGAAATTAATAATTAATAATTTTTATTTATTTTCTTTTATTTTAAGAAAATATCAAATGAAAGATCATACTATAAATTATTATATTTTAATAATATGTGTGTGTCTATTTTTTTGTTCACGGAAGGAATATAAACTTTTTTATAGTAAAATATAACTAACAACAAACATGAATGTTGTAAAATAATTTTTTTTTTTAAATAACCATATTTTTTAGCAAAAATATTAAAATAATTATGTTTTTTCAATATTTTTCAAAATATATATGTTTTAAACAAAACAAATTACATGCGCAGAGATCAAGTCAATTGAATTGTTGACCGATTTAATATTTTAGAATGTAAATTAGACGAATTGTCGTTTCTAATGGGTCAAGTTAATTCAATTGTTGTTTCCTTTTTGTTTTTCAAAAGAGATGCAAATTTTATTGGTGTTTCTTTTTTTTAATTGATTATAAAATATTATATTTAATAGAAGGAAATGTCAATTGAATTAGCGATCATTTGAAGAATAAAGAGGAAGCGTCAATTGGATTGACTTGGCCAATTGATGACGTCGATTAAGTTGACTTACTTTCTAGAATGTTAAATGGGTAATTCAGGTAACTCTAATAACACCCTTACTTATCCAATTAGTAAGGAAGAATTACACGCTTACTTACCAGGTGTCCAGATTATCTTATCCTAAGGCAACCTTCTTGAAAGAGGAATGCTGACAATTTTCTACGCCTCGAAGGTATTGAAACAGGAGAAGATGAGGCCTTCTTTCCACTTCATCAGATCAACAACAAGTGCTTTGTTACCAAGGGTGTCATTGTCTCTCGATCTTCCAAGCCCAAGAATTGAGGGAATCTATTTGTCCTTCCATATTCGAACCTTCTTACCATTTCCTATCTGCTACCTGCAACCAGCCTCCATAAGGTCTCTAACACTAAGGATGCTCCTCCATGCATAGCTTGGGGAGTACCTCGTCTGAGCTTCCATGAAGTTGCAGGTTGCAAAATATTTAGCCTTGAAAACTTTTCCAACAAGGCATGTTCCCTGTTTAGTAACCTTCGGCACTGTTTTCCAAGAAGGGTTTTGTTGAAATCTCCAACTTATCTATTCTTTGCCTTTGCCAGCCTTTCTCGTCTTAACTAGTAGATTTTTCTTTGCCCCTATTTTTCTCCCCACCATAAATTTGCTATCATTCTCTCAATTTGGTCATAACACCCTTCTGGAATTTTGTAGTAACTCATAATATAATTGGGTACAGCTTGGGCCATTGATTTAATTGACACTTATCTTCCCGCCCCCGAGAGCGCCTTTTCTTTCCATCCTTTGAGTTTCTTCCAAACTCTCTCTACCATAAAGGAGAATACTTTTTTTATTTGATCTATCAAACACCACCAGAAAGCCAAGGTATTTTGTGTGAGTTGCCACCTGTTGGATTCCCATCTTCGCACATAAAGAGACCCTACAATCAGCATTAACATTATAACTAAATAAGACTTATACTTTGTCCAAATTCACTAGTTGACTCGATCTTTTTTTGTACACCAAGAGGGTTTTCAAAATTACTTTAGCTTTTTGTTGATTGGCTTTAGCAAAAAGGAGGTTATCTTCCGCGAAGAAGGGGTGGGATATGGTTGGAGCTTCTATTGTCACATTGATCCCACGAATGGTATGATGTTTCACTTCCTAAGAAAGCAGGCCAGAGAGCACATTTGCACAAAGGATAAATAGATAAGGAGGCAGGGGGTCCCCTTGCCCTTTTCCTCTCCCAGACAAAAGTCTTTTAGAAGGTTGCCCATTGATAAGAATCTTGTACGAAACAATTGTAACACACCCCATAATATCAAATATTAAACTTGTTGAGAATACCATGAAGGTCAGCATAATCTTTACAAAGTCCCACTCGATTTTTCCATAAGCTTTTGACATATCGAGTTTTAGAGCCATGTTACCCTTCTTGCCTTTAGTTTTTTTCTTGAGCCAATGGAAGCATTCTATGTCAACGAGGCCATTGTCTGGAATAAGACTCCTCTAGATGAAAACATTTTATTCTTCATCTACAATATTGGGCAGGAGATACTTCAATCTATTGGTTATGCATTTGGTTACGAGCTTCAAGGTGACACTGCATAAGCTAATATGGCAAAAGTTTCTCAGAGATTGGGGATTCTTACTTTCGGAATCAAACAGATGAAGGTCCTAATCAAATATTTAGGGCTTTTACCGCTGTTAAGGATATCCAAAACAAGTTTCTCCATATCACCACCTACAATGTTCCAGTATCTCTGATAAAATAATGTGGGAATTCCATCAGGGCCAGGTGCTTTTCAGAGGATGCATCTGCTTAAAGGCCTATTTCATATCAAAAGAATCAAATTGCGTGTTGCACCACTATTTTTTTTGGTCATATAACATGTTTCTCACTACTTCAAAGATTATCTCAGCACATTCTTTTTCCAACCGAAGAAAAAAGCTCAATATCATAGGTTGTGAAGACTCTCTCAATATCCATTTCCTTCCGCCATTAGGCCTCATTGGCATCTCTAATTCTGGAAATAATGTTTATTTTCCTCCTCTAAGATGTTTTCGCATGGAAAAAGGTCGTGTTCTTGTCTTCATTCTTTAGCCATAATGCTTTACTCTATTGGCGCCATATGGTTTCTTATGCAATCAGGAGTTCATCCAGATGCCAACTAAACTGTTTTATCTTAGAAAGATCCTCAGCAGATGAATCCCAAAGGTTCAACCCATTGATCTTAGCTTCCACTTTTAGGATTTCCTTCTTGATATTGTTCCTACGATACTTATCGAACAATGGACCTAAAGATTTAAGGCCCTTAACTTTCTCCTCAGTACAGGCTTGAGGATTGAACCACGCCTTATGAATCTCCCATAACATATTGCATTTTTCATTCACAACTATTCGAAATGAAATATTTATCTACTTTTCCTTTGTAAGTGTTGATTTTTTGCCTCAAGATCAATAGCCAAAACTACGTGATCAGAAGTCCTCATAGAGAGGTGTCTAACTCTCACCGTAGAGAACATGTTGATAAAGTTTGCATTCCCACAAGCTATATCCAGTTTAAATTGGAAGTTGTCAACTCCCTATCTTCAGTTAGACCATGTAAAGGGGTATCCTTAAAACCCTAAGTCAATAATTTTACAATATTCCATTGCTTTCCTTCTTTATTCCTATTGATGCTCTGATCTGGTATTCCCTCTTATCTTATCTGTCATACTCACCATGTCATTGAAATCTCCAAAAAAAGAGCCACATACCTCCTGAAGGCCTCAAGCTCCTTATGATATGCCAAGTATCCTTTTTCATGTGATCCTCCGGGTAGCCATAAACACCAATGGTGATACCTTGTCCCCACTGTCGCTTGCGCGAAAATAAGGTGTCGGCACAACAGAAGAGTCGCCACCTTTCGTTATTTATCCCTCGGAGCGGGAAAGGAAACGATCGGAAAAACCTAACGAAGAAGGGTAAGACAAGGTCATCGCAACCATTGTCTGGGTTCGGGAGTCGGTTACGCAAGGGGAAGGTATTAGCACCCCTCACGTCCGTCGTACTCGACGGGATCCACGCTTGTTGTGTTTACTACGGGTGAAAAACAATCTATCTACGGCTGCTAAATCTAAACGGGAAAGAAATTGACTCGGTAGAGTGTCGCACTCTATGCCTACGTATTCTCTTCAGAGAATGAGAAATCAGAGTCTGCGTAGTTCGGGAAACTACGGGTTAGTTGCTCGGCAAGACGTCGCGTATTGGGCCTACGTATTCTCTTCAGAGAAATCAGAGCATGACGTAGTTCAGGCTAACTATGGCTAGACAGGGTGTTCTCGGTCACACGGGGGTGAGAGAAATGATTGACGATACTAGCATACGCATTCTAGCAGTTAGGTGGACGCTGCTCGACCATTGGAGACTTAGGCGTACCTGTTTGCGGTAGAACGGACGTAGTATGTCGGGTTTTGAGGTATGGGAACCTACGGGAACTAGAACTACGGTCTGGTCTCAAATGCACTCGGGCAAGAGAAATGGATAACATCAGTCGTCAGCGGGAAAGTCTCGATCGCACAGCAGCGAGAGAACAAAAGGTTAGTGGTTAGTGTGCTCGCTAGGATATCGCATCCTATGCCTACATATTCTCATCAGAGAAAATCAGAGCAGCTGTAGTTCGGCCTAACTACGGGTAGAACGGAGACCACAACACAAATCTCGTTTTATTAATATTCTGAAGAAATTACAATGATAAACTTCTAAAAATCTTATCCAACTATTATGGAAAATCTAATGAGAACTAGTCCCCTAACAAGTGGACATTTAAATCTACTTCTAAAAATGTAAAAAGTCCCCTAACAAATGGACATTTAAAACTACTTCTAAAAAGGTGTAAAATAAACTCTATGAGGAAATATATCCTAAAAAAGAAAATATTAAAAATACTATTAGCTAATATAATATTTCTTTTATATTTTTATACTTTTGTTTCTATTACATATTCTTTTTCTTTTTAACAAAATCTA